CAGGAAGCGAAGTTGGTGAGAAAAACCTTAGACGCGGCGAAGTTTACGAACTGCAGAACAAAAGACGGTGTGACATTGATAAAGTGGAAAGACAAGAAAGACGTTTTGATGATATCTACAAAACCATCGCATTCAGCAGCTGTAATGAATACTGGAAATATCAATAGAAAAAATGAGCCCATCATGAAGCCACAAGTAGTGCTAGATTATAATGACGGAAGACAAGGTACTGATTTGTCTGATCAGCCATCAACCTATTACACGTGTCTCAGATGGTCAATAAAGTGGTATCGAAAGGTGGTATTTGAATTGATTTTTGATACAGCACTAGTAAATAGTTATTTGGTATATAAGGAAAACTACGCTGTAAGCAAAGCAACCATTCTACAGTTTCACGAAAGTCTTTTCCGATCTCTATTGCTTGGTGTGCCATTCGAGAAACTGAAATCGGGTCCGAGACAAAAGTCAACAGGGCAAACGAAGCGGAAGCTCGCTAGTCACAAGTTAGAAGAAATAGAAGGATCTGCGCGCAATCTCCGCAGACGCTGCATTGGTTGCTATGAACAAGCAAGGAAGCAACAATCAAGGGAAGCGAGCTACGCAGGAGCAAAGAAAGTAAAAACTTTACGTTCTGACTGTGATAAATTTTTTTGTCTTGAATGTTTTAACAAGAAGCATCATGTTACGGAATAAAGGACTCAAAAAATATTGAAGGTAGCGCGGATGACATATTTCGTTTAACCTCCTGCCTAAGAAAAAAGCAAAAGAAAGTGTTTTTCTATACAGTTCCTTCTTAAAATATAGCTGGCCCACCGGTGGGCCACATCGTGGTGAATGTGTTAAAAACTCGATTATCATAGAACATTACTTTATCGAAATATTGTATAAAACCTATTATGATATATGAAGTATAAGCTAATATGTGCAATTTGATTGAAATAAATGTAGTAAAGAGGAAATGTAGATAATTTTGAAGGAAAACCTTTATTTTTTTGGGAATTTAGTTTTAGATTAATTAAGAAGTTCATGATTGTCAAATTTATGCTCATGATTGCTAAATTTTACAATGTAGACGAATATGTCTCCTGCTTTTCTCTGTTTTGTTGTTCTGAATGATGTTTAAAACAGGTTATTGAATGGGCTGGAAATTTGTTGATTTCTTTTTCTCTTTCATGTTGCTATGTTGATTATTAACAAGAATCAGCAATTACAAAGTAGAGAATAATGCACTCATATTAAAAATGCATTATATACTTTATGAGCATGTGTTGAAAAAAAGAATGAAATGTTCGAATGATCGTTTCTTTTAGTGTGCTGAATAACTGAGAACTTCGTAAATAATTCACAGTAAGTAATGTTTCAGTTTTGTATTTGCATCAATAGCTTTTCCCGACATTACCAACCTATCCAGTGATGAATCATCTTCTTTGATAGATTTGTTTGACAACGTATCCATTTCAAGCTGTTCGACAGTACTATCGACAATAAATCAATTGATAAAAAAAAGTTATACTTAATTTACTAGAAATCAAAAATAGGTCGACGTCATCTCTGTCGAATAGTTTACAAAGTTGAATCTGTGAAAAAACACCTTTTGAAGAATACAGAGTATCATTTTTAATTCGAATGATGATGAATGCAGGATGAGCATGACATTGGACATCTTTATCATCCTACATTATCGAAATCCTTGAAACAGAAACAATCAATAACGACTGACTGTATGCTTTGAAAAAAAAACACCAAATAATGAATGTATTCATTTCATAAAAAGCACTTAAATGCTAACGATATAGACTGAAACATACAGCAATAACTTTTGAAATTTGAATAGCATTTACAATCAATTTAAAATTGAGTGAAATTCATTTTTCAATGTCAAACAGAAAGAAAAAAGAGGCAACAAAGACATGAGTTTGATATAGAGAAACGAATTCTATGAGATGATGTTGCTGTACAGAAATGACACTAGGCTAGACTTTGCCAAGAGAAAAATATGAAAGAGCTGAGGTTAGTTAGTAGCAATTTTTTGGACTACACCTTTTTATTCTATTTTTATACTTTGGCTAGATTCAGAAAACTTGATTAATAGGATTTTGACTAAGGAAACTGTGAAAGTATTTCAACACTAATATCTATGCTCAAAATAGTTTCAATCTAAAATATTCAATATGCAGATAAATATTCATTCAGAATACTGGAGTGATATAACATTTTTACAAATCTTCTTCTCTCAGAATGCGCAAAACGGTCTACGACTTGTGGGATAATAGAAGCTTGCATTAGTTTAAAGCAGAGATATGATGTGTATTTTGTGTGAACGACATAGTACAGTAGAATATGACTGTTAGTGTATCTCCACCTGGCTAGAAAAATGTTGATTCTATAAGCCAAATTGCAGCATCATTGCGCAAAGAGATGTATCGATATAATATTTTATCAATTTTATTTCATATCATCCTTAGATTGTACACAGTATCACGTTTATGTGATGTCATCCTTACGTTATATTACTCTTATATAATATCACCTTGATACTGTATCAATTTCCATCCTTGAGCTGTATCGCTCTTATTGTATATCACTCTAGTATGATACCATCCTCATATCAATACATAATACTGTTCATTGTGTTCAATGTGTATTCATTGCCATTGTAATTATTCTGTGATATACTGTTCTTTGTCAACGTTTCTGCAAGCACTATATTACATTCTGTATATATTTCACATTGTTCTCTCCTCATGAGCAGACGATGGTAAAAGTGAAAAAGAAAAGATAATGCGCGATGAGAGCAAGATTGAACGACGATATATACACGTGTGAGTGATGTGTATAGTGGCGTAATAACTTTCTATGTAAAAGAAGAATAGTGCTGTTGAAAAAAAAGAGCAGGTGATAGCAACAAGTAACGAAAGTGTGCAGAAATCAATAGCAACAAAGACAAAGTGAAGAACTTAGTGATTTCTATCTTCATTTTTTCGTTACAATCATGGCCTAAAATGTCAAGATCTATATTTGACGACATGTATACCACCAATTTTACTTTCTTCTTACTGTGTCAATAGGCATATTATCCTATATGACATCTGCTCTTTCTCAGCGTGTTCTTGTACAATCAATGATACATAGTGCTCATAATCGTGTTACTCCTACGTTTATCTATGCATGATTACACCTTGCCCTCTTCGTATCGTAATGTACTTCTAATTACATATCGCCATTTACACGTATATTATATGCTTGGTTTTCATCTATGTGTTCTTACTCTCTTGTTCTTCTATATCTGTTGTTTGCTTGGTCTCATCATCTTTCTTTTCATCAACTCTTATTCTACTCGTGTATATAAACGTTTGCTTTATATCTAAACGATACGAATGTATGATATGAAGAAATAGAATAAAGTGCAATATCATCAACACTAATATCACTTTTATCATCGATTGTCACATAACGATTAAATGATAGGAAGGAATCAAATAAAGTGTATCAACATCTGTCACACTAATATCTCTTCTACTATCAATTTTTCGTTGCACTTACACGTAACACTACTCACTTGAAGTCACAGAAAAAACGCATACGGGTTCAACAGCACAGACGAAGAATTGATTGCTCATTAAGAAATTTTTACTATTTCTTGTTTCAGATTGTGTTGATAAGATATGTCTACATCAGTTGAAATTGTAAAGAGAAAAGCTGAAAAGATGCTTCAGTTATGGAATGAAAAACGGCTGCACGAAATGGTAACTATGGCATATGCTCCTGATGCACTCATCTTAGACGGTAGCAATACCTGCCAAGGTCATGATGCAATACTGAAAATATGCGAAGAGTGTCCGTGTACAAACATCGAAATGAGAGATTTACAAACAACAACCAAGGGTGATGACTGTATTATCCAAACATTTAAAAACACATCGAATGATGGAGAGGAAATTTGTACGTGGACATGGAAGCAGATCAATGGTGATTGGAAAATAACTACCGAAGAATGGAGTTGAATTATGACTTTCGATGACCGTTTTGAAAATCCTAAAGACTTTTTGAGGCAATTGTTTCTTTGATAAATTGTTTTATGGAATCTGATCCGTTGGTGTTACATGTGTGTGGGGTGTGGTTGTGTGGGTGTGGGTGTGGTTGTGTGGGTGTGAGTGTGAGTGTAGGTGCGGATGAGGGTGTGGGTGTGAGTGAGTGTGGGTGTGGGTGTGGGCGTGTGGGTGTGGATGAAAAGAAGTGAACACGCACACTCACCCACACCCACACCCACCCACACCCCACATCCACCCACATCCACACCCACCCACACCCACACTCACACTCACACCCACACACACCCACCCACACCCACACCCTCTCAAAAAGAAACTCTTTGTACATGTGACACATGAGGCTCGACTCAAAGGTTTAGCTCGTGAAATACACATGATACATGATAGTCACTTCTAAAACACCATTCATGGAGAAATAAGATTAGTTGTTGGTTTTCGAAATAATCCAAACATTGAATTTGAACTTTCACGTAAACGACCATCGTCATCCGTATTGAAAGATCCATTAAGAAAGAGTAAGAGATTACCCACCTTTCTTTCGATTGTCTATCACTTTTTTCCCTTAGAACAAAAACAAAATAGAATCGATGGTAACGACATCAATATCTAATGATCACTATATAGACATAAAAATGTTTTTGTTTTCTCATTTTTTCTTTTGTAAACATACTCTATTATATATTCACTGTTTTTTTTTCTTTCACACTTGTGTTATATTCGTCAAAAAAAATTCTATATTAGCCTTTCTTCTCATTTCAGATAGCTAACACTAATCAGTTCAATTCGAAAATTAATATTAAAGTTTAATAAAACTATCAGCAAGCAAACATGAAAAACAAATTCAATCAAAGTTAACAAGATCGGAAAGCTCAACATAAGAAAAAGAAAAATCGTCAATTACATATGAAAAAGAAACAAGTCTCTAGCAAAAACGAATTCCAATTAGCAATGATGGATCCTAGTGAACACTTTCAAAATTTTTCGACATCAGAACGTTTGCCAAGCAAAAAGCTATCAAATGCTATGGATATGAAAACCAGTTCTGATCTGACATTATTATTACTGGATTATTCAACAATATCGGATAGCAAGTTTACACAAATGCTATTAACATCGACGACAAATCTTATGAATCACGATGCTCTTATTGAACTGTTGAAACAGAAAGAAATATTAATATTTATTCGACAACTTACACAACTACTCAATAAATTAAATTATTCTCAATTACAACATGAACAATGGTCTTACTATTATAATCTTGACATGAGCAAGGCTACTTGGAATGGACGAGTATCGAAAAAAATGGCTGATACAAATTCAATGTATTACACATATGGTCGATTCAAAACTTTAATTAAACAACGTCTTGATAAATATAAACTACAATGTGAAAAAGCTCAAAAGGCTTTTCATGAACATATGAAAAAAGCACTAGTCATTATGGATATAGAAAATATTACCAATATGATCAATAATTTAATCAAAAATCATCAACATCAATTACGACTTGAACTCAAGAGATGAAAAACAATGCTTCGACTAGATGCTGAAGAACATCGACTCGTTGAAAACTTTTATGAACTAAAGCCAAGACAAACGGAAGTAAGCACACCGTAATCTTACATATATTATCAAAAAAGCATCAAAGTTTAGATAAATTCAGCAAAGATTATATGGAAAGCTACAAATGAACAGCGAAACATAATCCATGAAATTGCTATATTTAAAAAATTGCTTCAAGTTCATGCACAAGAATCATCATACACTCTTCAAGGCCTACAATTACCGAATATTTACCATATATTCATATCACTTAGCTTTCAACAACAAGCATCATCAGCTGAACATACTGCGACAACAAACAATTACTAAAGCTCAAGGAATCGAACAACACTATACAAAAATAGTCACCATTGAAAAAAATAAACTACAATCAACTATATCTCATCATAAAAATCCTCAACTACTCGAGCTAATCATCAATGTCGTACTACAACATGAAAATAATATACAGCAACGTCGTGCGTACGAACTACAACGAAAACTTTCTCATATATTCAAATAAAACAGCGACTACACATATTGACATCCGACTCAATATATACCATAACTAAACCCGAAAAAAGCTCTTTTGACTTTAAACTAAACACTCTAATCCTATATAAATCTGTACATAAACCATATAACTTATGAAATAAACATTTGAGAAAAAACTTCTCGAAACATAAATAACACTTTGCCTTTCGTTTCAGATTACACACACACACACACACAAAGTTCTACGTCGATCCCATTGAAACTTCCAACAACCGCAAAAAAACACAAATAACAAGAAAAAACATCTATGATAGCACCGACCATCAATATTCTTCATAGTATCACTTGTAAGCTATAAAGGTAAGAGATTCATATACAACAATTGATCCAATACAGCACAAAATTTTACTTCAGGCAGAATTTTCCAAGTAAACTACAACATGTCCAATTATATTTAGGTTTAAGATTGCTAATATCGCAGCCTGCGCCACTTGATAAAATTTGAGATAGAGACATTCGAAATAATCTATACATAGGTTATCGTGGTAACTTATACACACTGACACACCCGCACCCATCCACACCCCACACCCATACCCTCACACCTACACCCCACACCCTCACTCACACCCGTACCCCACACACCCACACCCTTGGTGATATTCCTGTCATTGTATTCGGTGACATGGCTCAAATTAAACTGGTTGCAGCTCAACAAGTATTTTATCGTCCATTAGGTGAATTATTTTCTCTATGGCATGATTTATTTTGACCTATGAACTTTCATATTAATATGAGACAAGATGATCGGTTCTTTTTTGATTGTTTGTGTCGAATGTGAATGCGTACCTGATATTTTATTATACTTTTCTAAATAGAAATAATTTACATGATATAGGTTGTTTGGACGAAGAAGCTGAATCGCTGATTAAATCAAGAAGTATAAGTCAACAAGACAACCCTGAAGGCTATCAAGAACGATTAAAAGAGTTAAATTCACCGGACTACGATGTGGGTGTGGATGTGAATGTAGGCGTTGATGACGACAGTAACACCCACACCCACTCCACAGCCACACCTACTCCATACCACACACATCCATATACGCACGCCCACACTCAAAAAGGTAGAATTGTCGAGGCTCAACGTCAACAATTATCACTGGATTTGATTATATTTTTATAAAAACTTTGGTTTTTTTCTATGAATTTTCAACTATAGGATTCGTATATTGTATTATCCTTTTGTGGTGTCTATTGTTTATTTTAACTATTACAAAAGTTCATACTTCGACTTGAATATGATAATAAACTCGATTGTAATGCTTAATTTTCTTATGAACATAGATTTTGCTGTATTTTTATTATTTTCATGAACCTTGTATTCTTTTATACGCTAAAAATTGAAATAGGGTGATCCATTTATTGAAAAAAGAACAAATATTATTTGCTGGGTCTGATCGAGTATCGAATTGCGCCTGGTCGAGCCACTACCACGGACAAAATTAACGCAACACGTATTTTTGATAGATATTATCATTAACGGTTGACCACGAAAAATATAAGTTTTTCAGAAATTTTTTTCGTCTATAGAACGTTCTAGAGCTCGTTTCACTGATCATTTTGGTAGACAAAGATATTCAAATTTACTCAATAAATAATGGCATTAGAGTCAAAATACTCAAAACTTAGGGCTGTGCGTGACCACTGCTGAGTAGTAGGTGATATTTTTGAGTATTCTGAGCCAAGGTTCGTTATTTATCGAGTAAATTTGAATATTTTTTTTACCAAAATGATCAACGAAACGAGCTCTACAAAGTTCTATAGACGAAAAAAATTTCTGAAAAATTTATATTTTTCGTAGTCGATCGTTAATGATTATATCTATCAAAAATACATGTTGCGTTAATTTTGTCCGTGGTAGTCAGGTTTGGGTGAGAAGTCAAATCTGTGTAGGACTCTATTCTAAACAAAGTTTTGTTTTATCAAAGTTCAGCATCATTATGACCACGTATTTGTTGCATCGGTATGTCAACTGACATAGGATACTGTGGAAAATTATTTGAAGCTTGTTGTAATTCGATTGATGGTAATCGTCTCGCTGGTGCAATATTACCAACTAAAACACCATTTCGAGTTAATACACGAATATTATTATTAAGAGATATGGCTTGTTCTTGTATAGATTCATTTGGAACAGTTTGATAATTCTATAGTAAAAAAAAGCGATATGCTATGTATGTTTTTCTTTCTAAATTAACTTACTAATGCTCGAGATGGCACTTGCGGCACATTGTAAAGAACCTAGAAAAATGACAAAACATTATTAAGAAAAAAAAATGATACTAATGCTATAAATATACTTCAGCACTGCTTTGACCATTTCTTTGTTGTCGACATTTAAAATGAAGAAAATAAAATAAACCGATAAGTAGTAAAACAAAACCTATTGGTCCAAGAACAGCACCAATAATCCATAATTTACTATCAGTTGTCGGAACTGACAAGTTAGACGAAATACTTGAACTTTGCACAAAATTCCCGTCAAATGAAAAACCCAATAAACTGATTATTTGATTTGGTGGTATTCTGGCCATGGCCGTGTGGACCTGCGTGGCTGACACTAATGTATATGTCCATGTGTCATTCACAATATAATATACTCTATATAATACCGGATTAGCATTAGGAGCAGAAATCTAAATTAGTATGAAAAGAAAATTATACATATGAAATAAATAAAGAAGGCTCTTTGTTTATTTAACAAAGCTTGTTAGCACGAACTCATCAGAGACCAAAGTGTGAACCTCACAAACTCTAACTATTAAAAATTTCTCATATGTTGTCAGAGGTTTTTAAATAATTTGTTGAAAAAAGGGCCGAATCAATGAATAAATCAAAACTATAACAATTTTTCTAGCTATTACACGTGTTAGTAAACTTTATCATTTCAGAATTTGCGAATTTATAATTACTTTACTATCAGTTTATACGATTCATATAGCACTGCTATACTGTAAAAGCTTATTTCTGTGGTCCGACACATCTTCAATCTATAACTTCTATATTCCTAATAATAAACTATATATAATCTGTGTCACACGAGGCCGCAAATATAATTTTACTATTCGTTTCGTCGATTAAACTACCGTATTAGTGTGCCAAACATATTGATTTTACCTTGCAGTAATCTATCGAGCCCACTATCCTTTCTCTCGAACACTTTTGACATATATTGCGAACTTTTGCCTTAATTTAGAAATCAATTAGTTCATTTTTTTCTATGTCTGTCGACCTATTCTGATCCTGCCAGGCAAAAAAAAATGACCGAACTATTGATTGACATGTGGAATAAGAGTTTTTCGCTGCATGAAAAACTCAAACTCACAATATCAAGACTAAACAGTTAGATTCTAAAGATTTTCAGAATGATCTAACCGCTCCTATTAGTGAAATACCATTTCCAATTGCTTTGTAAATCAACCCAAGAATCTTTGGCTTTCCTCTGCACCGCTTGCTAGAGACTAGGCCGAGTTACTAGGGTGTCTAACGCGGACGGGATCTTCCCGCCGTCTATAACACATCCACTACGACAAGAGGAGCAGAGCCGCAAACCTCGACTTCAACTTACAATCACAATTTCCTTTCCACCAGCTGTCATTGACGTCCGCATAGATGACCCTGATGCTATTTGAATATCGTACCTCGAGGTTGCCTGACGTTTCCGCCGCGATGATTGTGGACACCCTGATATGGATGAATTGTTTGAACATTCAAGGCCAAAATTTATAGCTCTGGATAATCCCTGTCGAATGTTTTCCACCTGACTACTATTATTTGGGTCGAAAATTGTTGTACTGTAAACTTGGAAAACTATAATGCACAT